CGAGAAAATGTTAACTCAAACTGACGGGCCCTGGCATGCAAGCATACGAACAAAAGCGTTTGCCATATGATCATGGCTCGATATATCACCTGCCTTGCTCATTTCTGAGGCTAACATAGGGCGGGCTTTGGCTGGTTGGTGGGCATGTAATTCACAAGCAGTAAGCTGTATTACACTATTTGACGTCTCGAAACTGCCTTGAATTCATCAAGCTTCTTGGTCTGTTTAAACCGCGTGTATTCTAAAAGCTCACTGATATTGGCTGACCTATAGCTTAGGAAGAATCATCCGGTGGAAGGCAAACAGAAAGGCCGGCCAGAGATGAAAACTCCGGGAAGAAACGGTCAGAGAACAACGTGTAGTCCGACTCCTTGGGAGCAATAACCGCATGCCATGATCCCCGGCTGAGCGACGGTACCTGAAGCATGCGGCGGATCTGTCGCACTGGCACCGACTGTCCGGCACCTTATCGGCACTAGGAGGCATCCGTCACAGGCTGTCACCGAACCGAGTCATCCGTCGCCTCTCCCGACCCGCGTCTGACCCATCCGTCACCTACCCAGACACACGCCTAACCTGGCCGTCACCAATCCAGACACACGTCTGACCCATCCGTCACGTATCCAGACACACGCCTAACCTGGCTATCACCAATCCAGACACACGTCTGACCTATCCGTCACCTATCCAGACACACGCCTAACCTGGCCGTCACCAATCCAGACACACGTTTGACCCATCCGTCACGTATCCAGACACACGCCTAACCTGGCTGTCACCAATCCAGACACTTGTCTGACCCATCCGTCACCTGTGCCAACCCGTATCCAGCCCGGATTTTACCTTCACCTGGACTGTGTGGGTCGACCCTTTGCTGCAGCTGGAAGGGAGCGACGTGCCAGCCTCAGTCATCAATGACGTCAGCTGACACCCCTCGTCGGTAGACAGCACAATGGTCATCGTGAGCAATCTGTGCCAAGTGGCGTCGCCAGTAATCGTCAGTAGTCATCATAGTATGATCATCATCATCGTTATCAGTTGGCAGAAATCATCGCCAGCCGCTGGTAGGAGTATGTGGCTGCCGGCGACTGCGTCTGGCTTCAAAATTAGCTTTAGTATAAGCTTTAATATAAGAGAGCAAATATAAAGCTTAGTCCCGTGCATTTAAGTCACCATGCTTTTGTTAAATAACCACACTTTATTGATAACAAATAATTCATCAAAATAGACTCGGTGCTGCCCCCTCTGGTACTCCTTGTGAGCTCAGCAAATCCGTGAGCTCAGTGAAACAAAAACAGTGGATGACAAGAAGCTAGACCAGCTTCGGAGCTGTCGCCACGGCAGCAGGTACATACGTCAAACACAGCTCTGACTCATCGGTAGCCTTTTTATCTGCATATACTATTTGTGCTACTGTGTATGTGCCTGGTAACTCGCTGAGCTCAGACCACCGTTGGGTGACGGGCAAGGGGACGCCATAAAGCTGCCGTGCCGAATGCAGCAGCCGGCCATTTCCATTGTGGAATTCAAGCATGCATCTGCCCTTGCTTAAACCATTGAGAGCACCTCATTAGGACTGGTGAGAAATGACAATAAATTTTACTACATCATGCTGTAATGCAGCGCATGCTAGTTTGTGTATCGCTCCACCTCTGGACCGTTTTTCCTTTGCCTTGTTGTCTTCTTTTCTGTTCTGTTCTGCTCAGCTGTATGTTGTCGGCTCTTCCCCTCTGCCTTCCTCTCCGCCTCGTCCGCTCGTTCACACCCCGCCATCCTGGCGCGTCGTTAGAGTGCCGAAGCGCCGGTTCATCACGACCGCCGACAGGCCCGTCCTGACGGCAGATTTACGCCCGACAACTTCATACCGATCCCGACGAAAAACACACAACTTCATACCGATCCCGACGAAAAACACACATTCCGACGCACTTAGTGAGCGATAACATTAGGAAGCGCGCAAAGCTTGTCGCCAAAGATAGACCTCAGTGATCATACCGAGATGTCCCCACGAATTAATGTTCTGAAACTTATTTATGAGCTCTGCTTTCGGTGGAAGTGTTTGACACTCTTGAATGAGGGACATGAAGCAGACAGCGATGAACGCGTCAACCATTCGTGAAATCACTCGCAAAACCTTTCAACCGCCTGAGATTACAACTCTCTCCCTCCGAATGACCCCATCGCTATTCAGAACCAATGGTGCTGACCAGCGCGTTATCACTTGTAGCGTTTGCTGCGTGGCAGCAGAGATCTTTGCTGGCCCTTAACTGCGTTGTGCGACATCCCCGCGGGTCAAGGTCACGTACTTTCGACGACGCCAGAAATTCCTACGTGAACGGTCAGCGCCGCCTGCTCGTCCGCTTCTGCCGCTCTTCACAGCTTGTCTGCCGCCTGCTCGTCCGCTTCTGCCGCTCTTCACAGCTTGTCTGCCGCCTGCTCGTCCGCTTCTGCCGCTTTTCACAGCTTGTCTGCCGCCTGCTCGTCCGCTTCTGCCGCTTTTCACAGCTTGTCTGCCGCCTGCTCGTCCGCTTCTGCCGCTTTTCACAGCTTGTCTGCCGCTCAAGATCCACAGCAATACAGGATCCTGAAGTCCCGCGAGTACGGGTTGTCTCAGCTGATAGTGAAGTTCTTCTGCGCGATTCCTCCATCGTGCAGTGTCAAAATGTTTGAGAACGAGGCGAAATTTGTAACAGTTTTCGGCTAGGTAACTACAAGCTCATCACGAAGCGAGTGACATCGGGTCGACGTAAGATAAACCTGAAGAAAGCCGACGAGTTAACTGAGAATAAAACGAGATGACATTCCGGCTAACATTACTCAATGTCCGATGTTTGTCACTATAACTCCTGCTAGAGGAGCTTCTGTTACGAAAACATGTCATCACTTCATCCAAGTTTTGTGTAATTTTGCTGCTACCGACCTGATAAGACTTGCTGCAATATGCATTTTTCTGAGGAATAATGAGGACATTCCTGACACAGCTTCTATATCATTGGAGCACATTTTCGTACGTACTGTGCAAATAGATATGCGTGGATGGCATTAGCGCTTCTCTGGAACGTCAACCAAATAACATCGCTGCTTAAAAAACAAAATATCCTATAGCTTATTCGTGGAATGCTACCACAGCTGCCGCCACTCCTCGTGCGTTAAGAATTTGACGCCGCTGCGGCCGTCATGGCTCCACACCGCCGAGCCGAGGAGGGGGCCGATAAAGAGGTCACTTCGGGAGGCGGGTCCTGCCCACTGAGCGTTCACAGGACCACTGTCCTCCCGTGTCCGGTGACTGATGTCGCGGACCAGCCGGCTTTCTCCAGGGCTCTGCCGCCGCCGGCGCCGAAGGATTTACGGGACCCCGAGAAAAGGTCGGGACCGTGTAAATAAGCGGCGCAATAGTTAAAGACATCCTGATTTACCGTCACTGATGGAGATCTCACAGAGAGCGTCAGGAGCGGCCGTCGATAACGGGGCGGCGGCGAACAGACTGCCGCTGCGCAGGCCCTCCTTTAACGATGGGACAGCCCGGTTCTTTTCATCACAAGGACGCTGGGATGTTTGTCTTTGAAGCCCGAGACCCCGTGTCGGCCCTTGGTGGCCCTCAATGAAGTAGTAGAGGCGTCTCTCTCGGGAAACGAGAGAAATTCCTACCTTTCGTTGTTGGCGGGGAGGACCCGAACGGTTCCAGGGCAGTGGACAGAACACCACCAGTCGTGTTTTTCCACCCTCTGGCCAAACATGATCTCGACTTTGTCGCATTCCAGCCATGTTATAGTTGGCAACTGTTTAGGTGCCATAACAATTCGGGTGCATTCAGATAGTGGCTGCGATTTGGGCGCGATACAGAACGAGGTGGACACATCAAATTAAAACCGCTACATTAATCCGGCTTCAGATAAACTCGTGGTTGATACGGGTGGCCCGCGTTGTGTTGCGCAGAAGAGTCCTTATGGGGAATTGGAGCTTAGAAGTGGTACATATCGAACTTCCCATTGCGGTCGCATTCCTGCATTCCAACAATGCAGGCTAAGAAGCCTTTCGCTCCTCTTTACGTGAGCGTGGTGAAAATGAAGAGAAGAAAAGGAAAGGTCATTACAAATATAGCGTGAAATGGCGCATCAAATTAACCCTGATCCCTACCGTTAGCCTGCCTATCCTGGCATCACCGAATGTCAACGGTCACCCGTCGACAGCTTGCATCTTTGTAAAGACATCTATCCGCCAGATAACGTGGGAAATCGCTCTCTGCCAGCGCAGCTCGGCAGACAGAATCATTGCCGACTTAGCATCCCATCTGCATCTCCCTCGCACGGACCGCGCTTTGCAGAACAGGACGAGCGCAAGGTTGGGCTGACCTGACCGACAGCTGAAGCCAGAGTCCGATTGCCGAAGAGAAGCGGTAGAGATCAGGTGCTTCTGTGCTGGTATAACCGGTCGCGCTCGTGAGATGAGCAGATTCTGAACATGTATCGACCAGCCGCCCACGACTGAGTTGGGCAGTCTGGCCGTGTACCGAACAGCCTGCCACCACTGAGTTGAGTATAGTCTGGCCATGTACGGAGCAGTCGGCCACCACTGAGCTGGGCACAGTTTGGCCATGTACGGAGCAGTCGGCCACCACTGAGCTGGGCAGAGTCTGGCCATGTACGGAGCAGTCGGCCACCACTGAGCTGGGCACAGTTTGGCCATGTACGGAGCAGTCGGCCACCACTGAGCTGGGCACAGTTTGGCCATGTACGGAGCAGTCGGCCACCACTGAGCTGGGCAGAGTCTGGCCGGTACCAAGTGAACAGCAACATTTGTCGAGAGCGTCCGAGGCACTCTTAAATCATAATAACCGCTGCCAGATTCCGCTCTGTGGGAGGAAAGCTTGACAGTAATCATTTCCCTAGGACCTAAGATGTGAATGACCTGCACAGCGTCTTTGACCTCATGCAACACTCACTCCGTACTGTGTTCTTTATTGGTAAAGCGCATAGAGCTGAGCTGGCTGTTAATTCACGATGCGTCTGAGCTCGGACTACAATTTGTGGGTATGCGCCATGTCACACTGTTCGATTTCCCTCGATCTGGTTAGCCACCAGCCACTTGCTTAAAGCATGTTCTTAAGGCATTCAAGCACATGAGTGCAACTGAAAAGTTGCCGATTATTGCTGATCCATTCATACTATCCCAGCAAAAGGTAACGCATTACAATCCAACATATTCGAAACTCGCTGACAGTAAAATGACACGGTCACCACTGCACGGATCGACTGAAAACCGAATTAGTCTGCAGCGGTTTTTGGTTTATCAAATTATTGGTCTCCGACAGGTATCACTGGGTCATACACACATGTCATCCATTTGAGCACCAATGCAATGCCTGATGGTGTCAATGGCATGAATCAACGAATACGTCAATAAATAAATCGACGAATGAACGAATCAAGTCAATCAATCAATCAATCAAAATCAGCTAATGAATCAATCAAATGCGTGATTTGGCTGCCTCCCCACGCCTGATCAGACGGCCTCCTCAAAGGCCCAATCTGGCAGCTCTGTGTGCCTATCCAGCATCTGATAGGCAAAGCCTGATACACGACCTGCACGCACAGTCTCACGTCAAAACTGAATGGGTCTGTCATATCGGTCTAACGTCAGATTTGGCAGCCCTGTCTGACGTCCAATCTGATAGTATCTGGTGTAAGACCTGAAAGTGGTAAGATTAAAAGAAACGGTACCACTGAGATACTTACTGCATTTCAAATACAGATGAGAGCATAACGGCAAAGTCAGACGACCGTACTCTACCAGCCAGCACCAGTCTTTTTTCCCTTCCCCAGCCGCCGTACGGACGACTCTTTTCGTTTATTGCTTGCGCTGTGGCAGCTGCTGAGATGGATTCCGGTCATTGCGAAGGTATGGTCTGGAAAGTATTGGGTAATCAAACAGAACTTGCTGACGGAAACCGTAGCCGTGGAGATATCCAACTCCCAAGACATCTTGGACGTCAGCAATATATATAGTCGGTTTTCGATAGCTTTTTTAAAGTCATTTATGGATTTGCATGGGCTTGAAAATGTACGAAACACCATGTACCATTTAGGTTCTTTTCAACATTACTTTCTACGTCACCCCATTCAACAATGATATTACCATCGATTGATTATATTCGTATGAGTACCGAGCGTTTCAGATTTTCGAACACCAACAGCTTTACAATGAACTGCTCAAGAGCGAAGCCGCAAAACAAATCTGACCTTCGCCTCACCTGCACACGAAATAGACGTGAGAGGACTGCGTGGCCGTCGTGAACATTCACTAAGACTTGTTCGTCTCCGTGGCCTAGCGGACACAGAGGGTCGGCTGTAGGCAGATGGAATAAGATTTGTGTTTAAGACACCCATGGGAGTAGTCAACGATGGATGAATATGTTGTCCTGGACGCTTCCATCTGCCATCAGAATATTCTTCGGGCAAACAAATGAGAACCCTCCGCTGAAAATATTGGCGACCTGGTGTTGCCTGAGGCTCGTCCCAGCTACGGTCCGATGTCATCGTTTTATCGCCCAGTCGTTGTCAAATTACTGGACCAACAAACGAGGAGCGATGGTCGGCAAGGACCAAACCCTTCAACACACCTCTCTCTCCGTAGAAAGGAGTAGATATAACTACTGGAGGTCCCAAAGCTTGGCAAAGATGAGCGCTGGTCTTATTCCGTGTATCTTATATCTGGGATCTAAAAGCCTCTGAGCCCCCCACCTCGCCCCTGCGGAGAAAACATAGGCGCTCACAATGATCGTGTTTTCGTCTTAGTCCACTTCGGTGGCGGTGTTGAGTATCGAACGCCAAGCAATGCCTGGACCGTTATCTGGTTAAACCACCTGAACTAGCAACGCTTAATCGGTTTCGTTTGTAACTTAAAGATCAATGGAATTAAATCCACAATCCTGAGTTTCCATTGGACCGCGCCGCTCTAGAGACCGAAATAGCCTGAATAGCCCGTCGAGGCTAGCATTAGAGTGTGTAGCGCTCCGGTCTGGAGACTGGGATAGAGGCCTGAATGGCTCGCTTTACACACGCGTTTGCGAGGGCGCCCGGACACATCTGAGCCGTACCATTGGGCTAATGTAGTCACGGGATGGGGAGGGGCATGTCCTCCTCATAGAGATGGTGAGGCCTCTGAGTGTTTGTTAGCGGTGTAATCTTCTTCATTGTACGGGGAAGCGTCTATGCGACCCCCTAAGGCCTTCTGAGGGTGTTTTCCGGCATGTCGTGTATTTATGCCACAGATTTTCAGCAGGTGAGGCTTTCGTTGCGCATCCTTTGACCCAAAACGTGTTTCTAGCTTTTCTGGTGTCTGAGAAGCGAGGTTTTTAGGAGCACTACACTGCGATCTACGACCGACGCGGATGGCGGACGGCTGCCGAAGATTCCGCCAATCGTGGGCAGCGGGGATGACAATGTTGCAATGTCGTCATCACTAACATTAAGTAATTTATCATAAAACATGGCTAAAATACACAAAACTGCATTTCAATACAATCAAAATTAAGCTATGCCCAAATTTGCGCAAGATGCATGCGTGTGTGCGCGTCATTGGGGCTTCACGACGCTCTCCCCAGCTGCTGCAGCTATATGGCGTCGCCCGCCTCTCACCTTGGCAGGAAGAGCGGGCACTGCGTGGAAGCGAACCCTGTATTTCTGGTTTCCCAGAAGAACAGTGGTGAACGCAGACGCGTTAACCACTACAGTACCGGCACCCCACCGTAAATATTGGCATGCAAAGCTGTGATGGACGATTTTCGCGAAGACCTCAGCTTTGGTCCAGTGGTTGAATCATTCTGCCAGCAACATGATGCTCATCACTTATCGCAAAATCTCGTTCAAGCTAGTCTACTGATTTTCCGCGAGGCTCTATCATTCCTAATTTGGAAACGGCAGGGGGTCAAATCCCTTATTCCATCACTTCGCGCTTGGAAATGGTGGATCGGGGCGAAAATTGAGCCGTCTACACAGGTTCTAAAACATGAGACGGGCTACCGAGTCCCCAAAACCGGCTCCTGCGCCCAAAAATGTCCTCTGAATTGAAAAACAAAACACCTGGGCGACGAAAACAGGCCAGTTGTCTAGAAGTGCCATGTCATATAACTTGATGGGATTCTCCTGGGTGACATCCAGCCTTTTCCGCCGTACCAATGCTTTGATACCGGTTGTCCAAGACTGTTTTGCGAGGCACAAACATCTAACATTTCCAACAAGACCAATGTTTATTTATGACCTCCAGCTCGCCGAGTCTGTTCTGGAAAACTGTATACGTTTGCCTACGGCTCAGATGATTAATGATCGATTTGCCATACCTAGAAATGTATGGTTCTACACAGCATCCGCAATTCATCATACCAGCTGTGACATGGCTTATGCTTTATTTCATTGACAGCCAGTTAGCAATTCCCTTGTAAACATTTTCCCATTGCCACTTTATACTGCCATGCCAACCGCAAAGGACGCTGGTTGCATGTGCTTTCGCCACTCAGACACTCTCATATCATACGCTCATATGCATGCAAATTCTGTGAGGCTTTCACATGTGATCATTTTGCACGCGTGGTTCACGTAAACTGATAAGTCGGCTGCACTTGTTTTGAAGTCAACCGAACGTTTGAATGCGTTGCCCCGTGCATCAACTGGCTATCGCCTTTTGAATTTTGGCACTGTTTCTCAACACGAACTCATAAGCTCCATTTTGAGTCACCTTTTCAAACTTGCATAGTTAGGAAAACTGTGTGAATTGCTACGCGATATGAAATAGTGCATTGACACCCCGGCAGCTAGGGATGTATAGGCATGGATTGTTGGACGATAACACCCGTTCTGAAGTACAAGAGAATGCCTTTACTGCAATTACAATTGTTACCATTTTCATTGGTTATTGTTCCGACACAATTTTCTCACACCACCCTCTTCTGAAATGTTTGATGTCCACCTTTCGCTCCTCTCTATTACCTTCCCAAGCAGCGGTCAATGAAGAAGCGGCACTCTTCCCAATCATGGCATGAAAGACACCGTGGCCTCGGGGATTACGTACGACCAGCAAAATAACATTCCAGACAGCCTATGACGATGTCCTCAGTCAAATTGATGAGTGCGGTGGACACAAACTGCTCGAAAATGCCGCTTCTTTGTTTGTGTGCTGTGCCGGTAAGGCACGCGCAAATGTTTTTTTTCATAATACACCGCCCACCAAGGGGAAGCTTTTTCGAATGGAAGCTAGGTCTCATCATCTTATCCGCATTTGCCATACGAGAAGCATTCGAAGTCAGGCGGTTCCAGAAGCCAGACCGGACCTGTCGGAGAGTCATCCAACATCTCTTGGCAGCCGGCGATGGGCTAGTTTGCCCCTGCTCGTGCGCAATTAAATCCCCTGGACAGCGGCGGTTGGACGTGATGGATGATCAATCGCCTCCCATTGTGTGCTGGATGGGGCCGGAACGCATTCAGAATGGATGGGAAAAAGCTGCGCAAAAGGGGGTGCATCTCCAGGGAATGTGCCGGTGGTAGACGTAGCTGGAGTGGTTGTGTGGTGCATCCTGAGGCGTGCACCTTGCAGAGCGCATGTCTCAGCTACCTGATGTATGGGGTTTGCTCTTACTATAAGTCAGGTCTTAACAGATATTCTCCATTAACTTATGAGGTTTCTGATCCGCCATCACTTGGGCATGAGCTTGTTTGTTTTGAACAGGATTCATACATATATACTTCACTTATTCACGAGTGCCAGCCACATAGTAAGCGTTTCGAAGGTGCTATCATTCCGCGATGGCATCCGACGAAATGCTGTGGTGGAGCTAAATAAAAGTAAGCACAGCTTTCAATACAGATTATCATAACGCATGAGGTCGGATTGTCAATGGGAGCCGTACAATTTCACCTGGTGTCTTTTAATGTTGTGTTCCTTTTATAATCAGCTGCATGCTATGAATGAAAAACCAACGCGCTATAACCTGAGGCTCAAACTTATGGAGTATGATATTATGTTGTTCTGATGTTACTGTGATGCATGTTTGCCTCACTCATCAGTTACAGTCCATGCGTTGGCTCAAATTTTCACGTACGAGCGGAGCGCAAAGGCCTGGATGCGAAAATAAAGCAAGGTCTAGACTTGCAAACATGCAAGTTTAGAATGGTTGCTCCCTTCACTTTAACAGTTCTTGGCTGCACTTCAGTTCTGCGACGTTAGTACTTCACGTGCTGAAAGCTACAGTAACACGTTGCGTGCACGAAGATAAAGGTTTTACTATGGCACACCGTGACGAAGTCTTTCATCGCACTATTCCATGGTTGTGCCTGGATCAGATCGATGTGTTCATAACGCGGTATTCAGCATGGATTGGCTTGCGTTACCCGAGTCGGTCGGAAAGCGCCAGCTGACAGGCCTGTCCAGCAGGGAGCCGCGTCACCCCCCCCCCCCCTTACCCCTCCCCCCCACACACACACATACACACTGCCCTTCCCCGTCCCCCGTCCGAGCCCGCATTATCAGACAGATTTGCTTATTCAACTGGGTTCGCCTGGGCCCAGCGTGAATGGAATTCGGGCTAGACGCGCTCTGAAGGAACGGCCCGCCGTTAATACGTGGGGCCCGACCCCTGCGGTTAACGACTAAACGGTATGAAAACGGGGCGGCCCCCCGCCGGGCGGGCCTGGACGCCGGCAAAACAGCTCTATTTACCCTGAATTCATTCGCTCGAGTGTCGCTGAGAGCGCAATTTCGACGGCGCTGATGGATCGCGTCAGGGGCCATTAATCGGCCAATGATTGTGTCTTTGTGCGCGGCGTGACCCGGGCCTGGGGACACATGTCGTCGGCCCGGCCCCCAGGGTGTAGCCGCCACGCGCCACCTCCGTGCACGCTGGAGAATCGTCGTCCCTCTGGTGGACTAATCGATGTGAACTTGCGGCAATGCTTCCATGAATGTCTTGTGGTGCCTACAATGGTGGCCGACGAAGACCTTTTCAGTGGTTAAGCTGAAAACCATGGCCTGTGATAACAATTTGCGCTTGTTGTACGAACTAAGCTATTTTGAATGTCTTTCTCGTTGAGCTTGTGTTGTTACGACCGCTTCCGAACAAGTTGGTCCCGACTGAAGCGCACAAGGCGCGGCTCCGACACGCCAGAATCATCCCCGTGTGCTGTTGAGACTGGCCAGTTGTCAGCCCCCGTTCCCAGTGATTATCAGCCTTTGTGCGCGGCATTCGGACTCAAAGGGCTAGTTGCCACCGGAGGTGTTATTGTTATGTGCTGCATTCACCGGACGCGCCGGCTGATTGGACAGGGACGCACCGCTGACGCCCTTGCCTCCCCCCCCCCCCCCCCCCCGCTAGTTCTCCCCGCCCCTCGCTTCGCAGTTCGTTCTGCGTCGCTCTTCGTCCTCGCTGCGCCGTGTTATTGTTGAGTTGTCAGCAGCGGATCGCTGAGGTGGCACGTATCGGCCAGGTCAGGAGCCTGCTTCGAGTAGGCGGCTTATTTGAGCAGACGCGCACACACACGGCAGAGCAAAACGTTTGTGTTTTGGGATGACTTGGAGGAGCACCGAGTCTGATAACCGTAGTGTCCCCCGTTCATTGAGCATTACGGAAAATAATGGCATCTTCCCTTGTCCAGGTAATTTGTTATTGCCGGAGTGCCCAATTGAACTTAACGGATAAGAGGGATCGGTGTTCGGTGACATTTAGGCCTGACATGTCTCAATGAAGGGCGCTCTTCAAGGGGCTGGACGACATTTCACTGGAAGTGGCCCACCCGTCGGTGCTGGACCGCCCGTCGCTGAACATTCCATCCAGCGGGTTGGTGCCCAAGGACCACCAGCTCTTCACCGTGCACCTGCCCTGTCGGCCTGGCGTCACCGCCGAGACGGACGTCCGGCTCAAGATCAGCCTGCTGCTGCCCAGGCAGCTGCCGCTCCGGCGCAAGAAGACCAACACCCTGCTGGTGTTCCGCCGCGGGCGCGTCTGCCGCGCGAAGGTCACGCCGACGGTAGCGCCGCTCGGCGGCGGTGACGTGATGCTGGAGGACGCAGCCGGCCCCACCCGGCTGGGCGACCCGCCGGCCGACGACGAGACGCCCTCCTCTGGCGTGCTGTACATGGCCGTCGGCAGCTCGTGCGGCGTCATACTGGTCATCATGATCATGCTGGCCGTGGTTCCCTCTACGAACTTTATATACTATTTTGGATCAAATGTAACACGGAGAAAGGTCAAATGCGAAGTGATTCTGTAGGTGGCTCAGGTGGCTGCAGTGGCTAAACCTTTGACCACGTGAAAAACCCTTTCAAGGCCACCTAAGTGACTTCAGCTGCTGGTTTTCTGGATTATATTTTTAGAGTTCTTGCGCTGAGTGCATCCTTCACCTGCACCTTCACCTCGACCTTCAGTGCATCAGGAGATACTGATAAAGCGACGTTTTTGAGCACACATTAGTTATATGGACAGCATTCCACGTTCAGGCTGTGCTTATGACCACAAGTAAATTACATTCGGCTTGGTTGGTTTGTGTTAGAGCCCTTTCGAAATAGTAATAACGAACTCAAGGCTATGGGGTGAAGGGAACTGGTTGATGGTGGGACGAACTCCACACAACCGGGGATTCCCAATCGAGGCCTCTTAACCCGCACTGGGACTCCTATTTGGGGTATCAGCTCGGCGTTCGGACGGGCCCCAGCCCGGGACGCTTACGCCCGCTCATGGCTAGCGCATGTGGCCTGGTGCGGATAAACGGGGCACCTCCAAGATTCAGGATGAAGCGAAAGCGAGAAGAAAATTGGCAGATGACCCGGAAGATGCTCTCTTTTCCTGGTTTTTCCTTTCACCATAACGTGTATGGCCATGGCAAACATGTGGCTGGTCTATGGGTATGTAGGGAACGCAGAGTGCCTGTCCATTTGCTCGGATTATCTCTCGCACGATCCTTCCTTCTATCGTTCCTCTGATCACCAACGCTCGCGGCCCAAACAGGCGCACCGTTGGTTTCAAAACATCTTGCTCCTTCCCGTCACGCAGTCCCAACGCCATCTATTGCCGGTTTTGTCAAACTGGATAGCGCCTCGGTCGATTCCTCGTGCGGGTGCGCGCAGCGGGCTCGCGGCCGTGAATCAGCTTCAAACCATGCTCAAATGCGGCGGCCATTGTCGCGTTCGGGAGCGACGCGTCCAGCCCGGCGTCGACGGCTCCGCAGTGTGGCTTTATCGGCCTGTCGCACGCGCCACACACGACATTGCGCGGCTTAATCTGACGGAAACAGCCGGAGAGACACGCTCCGCCGCCGGTATTGGCCGCACGCTCGACTGACGCTGTCATCGTTTGTCTTGGACGCTTTGCCTATCTTTTGGCACAGTATTTTTGCGCGGAATATTCTCTAAAATGGCTCCTTTGTGTCGAGGTGGAAGAGACCGGGGGATGCTTTGTCCCTGCTTGCGGCAACCGATTTAACTTAATAAAACATTTTGAGGTATAATGAGTACCTAAAGCCACTCATAGAAAAAGCTCAAGAGGCTTGCTCAGCTGACTTTGTGCTTAGCAGTCACCACGCTTGTTCAATGCGCCCTGAGGGTAACTGACAAGCAAAACGGCTCCAATTCGGGAAATGCATCTAGTATGGTCTACCAACACACAAGACATCCAAGTGATGACACGACCAACCAGACAGTTGCAATTGCTACCACTACCACCACCCACTACTAGCAATACCACTGCATGGCAGTTCAAATCGGAATTTGGGAGGAGTCCACAATTCTTCTTGTGGCTTTCTTGCTGGTTTCTTGTGGTTTTGAGAGCTTGCATCTGGTAGGTAAAACATGATAGCCTCGACAAATTTTGGTGCTTGTGGTACTTGCCCACTCATATCGTTCATGAGCTTTTACATGCGTTATCATATATGTATATATATATATATATATATATATATATATATATATATATATATATGCATATCCAATATGCAAAGCTGGATGAAATCGAGGGCTTGCTCAGGGTTACTTAAGTGCTTTGTAAGGTTTTGTTTTGTTTCAGCACACTCGTCGTACACCAGCCAGAAGGCGGTGACCACGCCGCTGGGTCAGACCATAGGTCACAGCCACAGCCTGGGCTCGCGCGGCGGCGCGGCCGGCTTCGTCCAGACGCTGAGTCACAGCGTGAGCCAGGGCCTGAGCCACAGCTCTGGCCAGAGCTCTGGCCAGCCGAGCGTGGGCCACAGCTTCGGCCACAGGGTGCGGGACGTGGGCGAGCGCGTCTCGGAGCTGATGGTGGACCGGCGACGCGTCGAGCTGGATACGGTGCTGGAGGAGGGTACCTTCGGCCGGATTGCCACCGGCTGGATGGCCGACTCTGACGCCGGCGAGAAGAAGAGGCGCATCATCAAATATCTGATGGGGCAGCTAAAGCGAGCATTCCTTATTCAAGTCAGCACAGGTCGGTGCGTGGAGGAGACCCATCGTCAGGTAGGTCCCAGTATCGTGGAGGAGACCCATCGTCAGGTAGGTCCCAGTATCGTGGAGGAGACCTGTCGTCAGGTAGGTCCCAGTATCGTGGAGGAGACCCGTCGTCAGGTAGGTCCCAGTATCGTGGAGGAGACCCATCGTCAGGTAGGTCCCAGTATCGGAGTCCCATCTCCCACCATCAGAATCGTCACAGGTCATTTAAAGAGGCGACTCATCACCGAAGCCGTCACAGGTCGGTGAAACGAATCATCCATCATCAAAGCCGTCTCCGGTCTGATCATGGAGCAGCTGTCATCAAAACAGCATCAGTCCATGACAACAGAGTCTCGTCATCGTAACAGAAACAGGTCGTTGGCTGGATACCAGAGTTGCGGCGTGGTCGTTTGACAAAGCTCCAGGCGTCGTTAGCTGTCACACAGAGTCACGAGCCCTCGTCGAGATAGCGAACAGTGGCACATGGACTCCCGGAGTACAGACGTCGTCAATTTAGGATCCCTCCCTGCTGCAAACCACTCGTCCGCCGGGACACCGCTGAGAGGAATGCCTCATTAAGTCAGGCTGGAATCGTCTTTTAAATCACCGCGCCTTGCAGAATCATCCCAACTTATGTTGTTGTTTATCGCGTTGCTTTGCTATTCATCAAACAAGCATGGTTTTATTCCAAGGTATAGTCACTGAATCAAACTAAGCTCGTGTAACTCTTGACACCAGATGGGCATGACATATAGCCTCATTTTTAAGATAAACATCACGTCATTTAATTGTCATAAATCATTTATTCATAACGATTGCACTACTGATTCCTGTAATGCCTTACGAACACTTGTCAAAATGGCGTGAACATGCAGGGTTCCTACAATGGAGATTTAAGCACACATGATGGATGTATGATGGGATCAGCTGAGAGCCTGCTCCTCAATGGTTGGCTCCGCCAATGTTCGAGTAACGGCGGCTCACTACACGGAGGATGCAGATTGCTGGCACTGACTAACACACGCGCGCGTCACCGTCCTTTGGCTTTCGTCTTTCTTGCTAAGGAGGCCGTTGAAAGCCGCACTGTATCTCAACGTTGCGCAGGCGTACGTGCGTGTGTGTGTGTGTGTGTGTGTGTGTGTGTGTGTGTGTGTGTGTGTGTGGTGTGTGTGTGTGTGTGTGTGTGTGTGTGTGTGTGTGTGTGTATATGTGCGCGTGTGTCGATCCTGCTCGAGGGCGCTGAAGTTTTACGGCCTGCGATACAAGATCATGCTGCCCGTGCTGCGGTGGGCGCAAAATGACCACTGCAGTGGGCGCGCCCGAAAACACCAATGAACAACAAAAAAGCCCGTGCTGTGGATGGCTGGGGAGGAGCGGGCACCATCCGCCGTCCTCCGCTCCTGCATGCAACAGTCCGACTGTAGGGGCTGGCCAGATGTACGCTACACTGTGCTGCTGACTGGTCTTCAGGGGTGCACCCAAAGGTAAGCATTGTCTGAGAACAATACATTTGATCTCGGAATTATGCCTCTTTCCTGAATCGATATTTTATATCAATGTGAACGCCGTCTTGCCAAACAACTTGTAGTAAGCTGTGAACTACAGCTATAACCCTTCGCTCATTTTCCTAGTCATTCCGAAAGAACGAAAGGGTATGGAACGCTAAACCATCGCCCGCGTCCAGATCCCAGCAGAGCCCGCGGCCGCTGTCCGCGCTTTCAGGCGCTGACAAATCGTGACATCCACTGAATGCGCCGCGCGTCAGATTACAACAATGCGCACGCTGTGAGCGGTCCCATCGGATCGCTGGCGTGGTCGTCCAGCTTCTGGCCGTCGCTGCTCGGCGCTCACTGCCCCGGCGCCGCCTGACGACCTGCCCGGCGAATGCCGTCTGTTGCTGGATGAGGTCGTTCCTATGGCTGTTAGAGAGGAGTGCTGATGGGGAGAGAGACAATCACGTTAAGGAGACGGGTGGTGGACCGCTGGCAGAGTCGGTGAAAGTCGGAGGATGTCATGAGGCGGGTCTAGAACAGGGTGGAAATGTGCCGGAAAATTTTGCGTGGCTCACTGCCAGCGTAGCGCATTTACGCGTGGTGAGTTGTCACCACGATTTCCGATCTGAGAGTCACGTGGCAAGCCGCAAAATGCAGCTTAAAGAAGTGTTTGTTGTTTTGTTTTCATTTAAGCTTTGAGAACACGGCATTCCCATTCGCTCCGATGTAAGATGCTCCGGCTAGCTCGATTATGGCTATCAGGGCAGATTGCATTGCCATCCAAGATGTGTTTGTGATGTTCCACACCCCTGCCTCGATGGTATGCTACCACGCCACCGTCCGCATTCCCTGGACCATTCCGTGCGGCCGCACAGCTGGCTGCAGCCCATTCAGGGCCGCTATATAGTTAGCCGCGGCCGAAAAAGGCGGCCGGCGGCGCCGTCGCCGGATAATTTAGCGACCGCGACCCTGTGGAGCCGCCGCGCGTCATCACCCGCCCTCCCGTCCAATTTGGCCTAATTCCGCCGGCGCCCGGTAATGGGCCCGAGGCTGCAGACGACAGTCGCGCCTGTGGGGCTGGCAGCTGGAGCGAGCCCCGTCCGGCACCGGGGCACTCCTCTCTGCCACGGAGATCCGGACATTGCACATCCGTCCGTACAGAGCGCCACAAGCTGCGTCACTTCGCCAGAACGAGCGTGGTGAACTGATGAGGAGGCTGTGCGCCTCTGAAATAGATCCGTTCGTAAACTAGACTGGACAGGAAGGCGAGCTTCTGTGGAGGCTGGTGATGTGACGGAGTTGCTTTGCGAAAACATCCGCCCGCTCATCTCTCTCACACAGCATCCGGCATTCTGGCCCGTCCAGCCAGACCGGTGATTTGCTGCAGCCATCCGCCACCGGAGCCCGGTCGGGAGCCGCACCACCCGAGACCCGGCCGCTGGACCCCCACATAGGCCCGCCTCCGCTGCGGCCGGTGGACGGGGTTCGCGGTTAATGCAGGATGACTGCATCATTATCTCATTTGCTATCTCATACCGCGAGCTCATAGCTAGCTCATGATGATCTGCGTAAGTTGGATGAGCTCTATGAGCCTTAACCCAAGTCAACCGACTGCGAAACGTCAACGACAAGGTAAGATCATAAATGATTCGCTGGCCATGCTGCAGCTTTCACCCAAATCATGTCGCAAGATATATGCGGTCGCTTTCAGCTTCTCTCGCTACTCTCTCATCTGCCTATGTCATGATCACCGCTTCCTCCGCTTGCTCTCCACTGCTCCCGGGTGGTGCTCCTCCCCTCCCCTCCCCCGGTGGCGGTGTGGCCGCCGCCTCACGGCTGGCTTCACTCGGCCGCCGCGCCGGCCGCCAGCGCCAGCCGCCGCCGCCGACAGCCGGCTGGGAGGTCCCCCGGAGAGGGAGGTGTCTGCGCCGTCTGGGTCGGCCACCTCACAGTCACGGTGGCCTAGCGGTGGTCACGCTGTCCGATCATGGTCACGGCCGTCGCCTCGGCGGCGGCGGCCACCAGCTGATGAACGAGGACCACATGGGTGGGGGGCCGCGGCGCTGCTCATCTGACCATGGCGTCTATGCTCCGCTGCACGGGCGTACCCAATTGACGACCGGCGGCGGGGGAAGTGGGGCGGCATGAGTGCCGTTTTGACGGGCGCATGTACGGTTTGCAACAGATCGGTTTGATGATGAATGTTTCTGGTTACCAACAAATCTCCCTGCACACGCGTTCCCGTTAGGCCATGTTGGTGAGAATTTTTCGCTGCCCTACCTCCCATAAATCTGGCGTGATGCAGCACGCAGCAGCTGAGCGGGTCGAGGCGTCGCCGGCCGCGCTGCGCCTGGATGCACGGACCCGCCCGTTCACAGAGTCCCGCTGCCACAACGGTCGCGGTGCTAACAAATAACGCGCGGCCGGTGACGAGAGGTTGAGCGTCGACCGCCCCCGTCTGTCCCGTCTGCACCCTTCACCAACGTCTAGTCTGCTGAGAGTCGCGGCCGGTGACGAGGCGGGCGCAGCGCCGACCGCTCCCGTCTCTCCCGTCTGCACCCTTCATCAGCGTCTGGTCTGCTGAGAGTCGCGGCCGGTGACGAGGGCTTGAGCGCCGACCGCTCCCGTCTCTCCCGTCTGCACCCTTCAACAGCGTCTGGTCTGCTGAGAGTCGCGGCCGGTGACGAGGGGTTGAGCGCCGACCGCTCCCGTCTCTCCCGTCTGCACCCTTCAACAGCGTCTGGTCTGCTGAGAGTCGCGGCCGGTGACGAGGCGGGCGCAGCGCCGACCGCTCCCGTCTCTCCCGTCTGCACCCTTCACCAGCGTCTGGTCTGCTGAGAGTCGCGGCCGGTGACGAGGGGTTGAGCGCCGACCGCTCCCGTCTCTCCCATCTGCACCCTTCAACAGCGTCTGGTCTGCTGAGAGTCGCGGCCGGTGACGAGGGGTTGAGCGCCGACCGCTCCCGTCTCTCCCGTCTGCACCCTTCAACAGCGTCTGGTCTGCTGAGAGTCGCGGCCGGTGACGAGGGGTTGAGCGCCGACCGCTCCCGTCTCTCCCGTCTGCACCCTTCATCAGCGTCTGGTCCGCTGAGAGTCTCGGCCGGTGACGAGGCGGGCGCAGCGCCGACCGCTCCCGTCTCTCCCGTCTGCACCCTTCATCAGCGTCTGGTCTGCTGAGAGTCGCGGGCGATGGCAGGCGCCACCCGGAGATTTGGATTTTTGGATTTTTAACCCAACAACTTAACCCTGTCTAAACGTCCGCGAAAAAAAAACATGCGGTATCACTTCCATTTACTCCACCCACATCGGCAAAACGATGACATAGCCGGACGCGCTGGGGCGCGGCCTAGGTTTTCTATGCTGAGACAACGCACGCCAAACGGAGCCGGGTAACAACCTTGGTACCCGCCGCTGGATACGGTTGGTCGGTTAGTGAAGTCCGCCGGTTCGTCGGGGAGGCCCAGCTTGCCATCAGCAACGGTAGTCTGTCTCAGTCTGGCTTTGTCTCCAAGGGCATCGGCTTGAGATGGGTGGAATTTCCTGGCCAAGTGTCATTGTTGAGCGTGGAGAAAGTGCCTATGAAATAAAAGAGCGGACTACGACAGGAAAGCAGCGGGAATAACTCTTTCTGGAACTGTGCGAATCCAAAGGCGATGCGCAAGGGATAGCCTCGGCTTTTGTGCTGTTTCTCTGGCATGATGGTCAGAGCGCGCTGTAATGGGAAGCAGGTCCGTTTTGTTCCCCACAATGGCGTGGCTGAATAAGATTCGGCGGGGGAGTCACAAGGAATTTCAAAGACCTGCTTCACCGCCCTTTCCCTCCGTATAAACATCGCACCACCTGCGACCGCGTCCGCCGAATGCCGCTGCGTCCATCTCCCAGTCTGCAGGCGGTATGAGGCGTCGTCTAGCCGGGGCTCGCCTCCCAGCACGTCCTGTCAGCGGAGGATGACGGATTATTCGCAATCTTACGCCCTGTCGGGACCCCTCCCCTCCCCCCCCCTCACCCCCGTGCCGCCCCCGCCACCCAAGTGGATGTGCAGCTGGACTTTTTGCGAGGGACAATGGGATTTTGCTCCATGAAATTCGGTAAGATCTTCACGAAAGGAATAAATAAGCTAGATGATGTCAAGCGTGGGCTAATTCACAAGTCGCAGGAGTTTCAGGGGTGTTTTATCCACACTTCGGCCGTGAAGGGCCGCATTGTGCAGCCTTTTTGCGGATCGATTATTTTTTGTCTGATGATGCAGAGCAGAAAAAAAACAACACGAAACAGAAACTTCCCGGCTATAAATCCACACCTCCACTCAGGAGTTGTTCTGAAACAGACCAATCAGCTGTGAGACCAGCCTACGACGGCTCCCCAGCCGCTGGACACCGGAAGCTTCCTGCCGCGGGCCGCTGACCCGGTCAGCGGCTGGCGGGAGAGGGAGTCGCCGAGTGATGCGGCGCACTCGGCCGAGTCCCCGTGCGCCGGCTGTCAGGGACCGAGACGCGCCTCTGTCAGTGACATGGCACGCCTCTGTCAGTGGGTGAGCTCACCTCCGGCAGTGCAAGTTAAGTGCAGCTCCGAGCGCGCCAGTGCCGGCGGTCCACGTCCGCCTCTGTCCTGTGCCAGTGGCCGCGGCCGCTGCCTGAGCCCAACTCGCTCACGAACCCCTTCGCTCTGACCTGGGCCCCTGTTGCAGGCGCGGTCCGGCCACTGACCGTGGAAACCCCGCTCGCAGGCTCCGCCAGCGGCGGATTCGTGCTCTGACACGGGCTCCTGGCGTGCAGGCTGCGCGAGCGGCGGGTTCGCGCTGACACGGGCCCCTGACGTACAGGTTCCGCCAGCGGCGGGTTCGTGCTCTGACACGGGCCCCTGGCGTGCAGGCTCCGCCAGCGGCGAGCTCGTGCTCTGACACGGGCCCCTGACGTGCAGGCTCCGCCAGCGGCGGGTTCGCGCTGACACGGGCCCCTGACGTGCGGTGGCCCGCTCGCCGGCCTGCACGGCACGCGGGGCTGGGCGGCATCACCACCGTGATGTCGTGACGTGGCGTGACATAATGCCACGGTACGGCGGTGATTGATGAAGCTATGCTCTGCCGCTGTTGGTGGCATTGCCAGACAGTATCGTGCCCTGATCATCTTATAACATGAGGCAGGTAGTTTTGCCTTGCTTCGGCATGGCTTTAAGCAGCTGGGAAGCCTGGCTGTTCTATAACAAAACGTTTAGCCAACATTTGGCTGTATTTTATGGTTTTCGCAGCTGCCAAATATGATTATTGAAGCCTCTTCAGTGTTGAATTATGCTTGTCTCTGTATTGTAGCCTCTTAATATAATAGCCCGCGCGAGCATTGTGTTGCCTGTAGCAACATACACTTCGCACCGATCGGTGTTCTCTCTGCCTATTGGCCGTGCCAAGCTTGCAACCAGTGCCATTTTGGAACGCTTTGTGCACATGGCCAGCAAGTTCTTCCACTGGGACCTGGTCACAGGCCATGACAGCCTCCGTCGTGACCCTGTCCCCATGTCACTGTGGTCGGCAGTCGCGACCTCGTACTCTGCGACCTCGTCAGTCGCTATTCACGATGCCGGGGTTACAGAGCTCGCCATCCTTGGCCTCGTCTCCAGGTCACGGTGCTCTACCGCCGTGACGTCATCCCCAGGTCGCGGTGTTTTCCCGTCGTGACCTGGTGCCCAGCTCGCCGCAGTCGTCTCCCGTGATCTTGTTCCCACGTCACGGCGTGCCTCCGTCGTGACCTCGCCCCCACGTCGCTGTGTTCTCTCTCCGTGACCTTGTACTCAGGTGGCGGCGTTTGCCCTCCGCGGTCGGTCAGGCACCCGCAAGGTCAGCGGGATAGTGATCGGCCCTACTATTTCCGTCCGCCGCCCCCGTCATGGTGATTTGGCCTCTGGCGCTGAATTGCTGCTGTCAAAGCGAGATCGATGCTTTGTGGCGAGAAAAACGGGTACTGGCGCCACCTGCTCAGTGGTTCGCTACTGGTGCCATTAGATCAGTTATATTTGGTGGCGATGGTTTCAACGAAATGACATTCGCACCGGAACTCCCCTGAAGTAGCTGGAATTAAGGGCACCCTGCGTCATAGTTTGCATTATATCAAGTGGGACCTGCCAACAATAACGCTCAGAATAGACATGAGCATTGTGCGCAGTGCCCGCAGCTGTGCTAAAACGGTAAGACGCTCTCCGCCCGCCACCATGAAATATGGCAGCGGGGCGCCATAGCCACCCACATTGTGCTGCCTTCATAACTCCTGAGCTCTTTGTTGTATGGCATGGTCGCCTGAAGTGTGGCGTCAATTTTGTGGCTCTTAATTTTCCGCTTGGTCACGGAATTGGCGGCAGCCAATTATTATCACCAAACGAGCTCAACTGTGCCCGGCGGTAGAGGACGATGCCTTAAAATACGTCATAAGCAGGAGCATAATGTCGCAAAATGAGTTGTGGGTGGGCGAGGGGGGGACTAAACAGTGAGAATGGTGAAACACAGCACCAAAACAGCCAATAAACGAGCTTCTCCCCAGATTCGGACCACTTTCTTGTCAAAGTTGAGGGGATGGATCCTAAGTTGGAGGGGTGAGAGAGGGGGAGGGGCTGAAGACCCCCACCCACTAAATATGAAACTACGCATCTGCTCACAGGTAAAAATTGACTCATCAGTAAGTGTAGCTTAGTTGCTGGGACTTGAATAAGAAAATAATTGTATTACATCTGCTCTACGTGTATGAACGGGGGTGCACGCAGGAATGCGTGATAAGGGAGGGGGCACAGTTAAAATGAATATCTGAAAACCCATGCAGACGGGCAAACATCCTCGCGTAGTGCACAACAATATCACATGTTCTATATTTGTGTAACTCTACTTGTCTACTCAGCCATTTTAATGGGCAACATATATTCACGCAGGCATCAATACATGTCATAAGTTTAGAAGACTGCGAGGGGGTACGTGCCCCTGGTGGACCATTGCGAACGTGCGCCTCTGGATGTGAACTGATAGGGCCTATCATATCCGGCAAGTTGACATCTGTCTTCAAAAGGTAAAAAGGAGCTGAGATTAGTCCGGTAAATTTTCCAAGGGAAACGGTTCTATGCTTTGGCAAATTAAACATGCTTGGAAAAGTGGCCAAATTTTGACTGCATTTTTTCCAAACCTTTGGCTTCACATCAGGCGATACAGTTCTTTGAACTGCATCAAATTATATGAACAACTCCATTTCCGAAAAACGACACGCCTTTTTACATTTGGAAGGCAGACGCGCACTCGCTCAGCTGTCACGGCAGACGAGGTTTCCAAAGGGCGTCACTAGAAAACAACACGCGCACTAATCGGCCGTGATGTGCGCATTTTATTTGTTTCCATCAATTAAATCGAAAGCTTGTAATGCTTTGTCATCAGTGTTAGCGAGACAGAATCGTCCAGTTCCAATTGCCCAGCTTTCTCAGCCGAAAACGCCGAGAATCCCGATCAGCATTCCGAGCGCCATCAAACGGCCGGCGCGCGGTGGGAAGGTATGTTACGGGAAAGGCGCCATGCAATCACGGCGTCAACCATGCAGCAAAAGGCAAACGAGCGTGAAAAACAAGCTCATTAGTGAATCATCGCATGGCTGTGTCCCACGACAGCCCCCACTCCCACCCCCCACAGATACACCAGATCCCTGGGTCCACATGGAAGTCATCCATTATCGTGACGTTCGTTGGGCCTATTTCTTATTTAAAGAAGCCCCCCTCAGACGCGCACTTCATCGCCGTTGGCTGGTGGGAACGCCGTAACAAATGCGCGCGTCACGCCGGCGACAGGGCGGGAGGGGTGCTTTTGGGGACACTCGGGCAGCGCCGTCTGCAGCCTCGAGGAGACAGCGCTGGCTGCTGGTGACGTCTCAGGCGCCGGCTGTGCATGTTTGCCCGTAATCTGTTATTGTCTGGCGACTGCCCGGGGGCTGACGTCAACCCCGGCTCCTCCCAGGAGACGGCGCAGTGTGTGCGCTCCTCAGCCGGGCGGCCGCCTGTCATCACGCAGCGTCACGATCGGGGGGCAGAACGGCCAAACACCAAACACGGACATTCTCCGCCGTAACGCAAGCCGCGCCCTGTGAGTGGGGCGCCCACCCCGCCCTGGGAAAGAAGACATCTGGACCGGCCCACTTATCAAAATGTCAACTCGGCGCGCACACTGTGGCCTGAGCACGCCGCCGTCCGTACTCAGCTGCGTCCGATAGTGTCCCCGAGGACAAACAGAACCAGAGGGGCTAGCGCACGCCGGGAGGAAGGGGACGGCGCTTTTTCTGCGCGAGGCGTCGCCAAAGCTGCGTGGTAGGCCGGGTGGCGACGGGGCCGGTAATTCGGCTGTCGCCGCGATGATCGGGCGCCGTCTGAGGAGAGCCCCATTCGCGTCTGATGCTGCTCTTGAGCAGCACGCCCAACTATGCGCGCGTCTAAACCATTATGAAGGATTTGACAACATGGTTATTGGTGCCAAAGCGCAGGTAAATCCCGAGGACTGTTGGTACAGGACACGATGACTGTTGGACGAGGACACGGTGGTGGTATGGCCACCTTCTTCTTTCCATGTCAGTATTGACCGCTGTTATCCCCTGCCTAAAGTGCCGTACGAAACGCACCCTGGCAATGCCTCCCTTTTCTCGCTCTGCACGTTCGTGGGCAGCCAACAAGTCGGGATTGTTCTGTCGAGTGTGGACAGTGTGGACAGTGTGACAGTCTGAGCGTGAAGCTGGCGGACGTCACCGTGCCATGTCGCGTGTTTTCCGAAGGGCTGCTGCAGTTTGGCGGACATCAGCTGCCCTGTCAAGTGGATGGCGATGAGGGCCGAACTCACCAGCCAGTGTACCCGCGCCGCAGGAGTGGTAAAGCCAATGTCAATGTAGCGGACAATGATAAAATGTTTGGATTGCATTCGGATGAAACAAAGAGTTAAATGACAGGCGAATTAACGTCTTCGTTCGAACATACCTGGGTTAGTACAATGAGCAGTCCTTTTTATTTAGACTTAAGCGCTTGCCATTATTGAGCTTCTACCACCGCCTGCAGAAAGCATCGCAGTCAAATGGTTTCTGAAAGCAAGGCCCATGGACAAGCACGAAACAGGCGGTGAGGGCTTCACACGGCTCCCTGCAGCGTCGCCGGCTCTGAATCTGGCTTTCCCGTATCGCCCCAGCTGGAGGCAAGAGTCACCGGGCGGAGATCATGTCGAGATCATGCCCTCCGGCAGTAATGGAAATTCCTGCTGGTGGGCTGGAAGCGGGTCCATATGATGGCCGTGGCCGCTGCGCCATCGGTGTGTACTTAGCAGCGTCAGATTGTCTCGGCTAATGCCTGCCCGGGCCCGTGATGGACGGGAGGGCTCGTCCCGGCTCTCTGGCCTGCGGTGCTCTCGGAGCAGGGCAGCGATGAGGCGCGCCCGACCGCGGGTCAGCGAATGGTACCGCTAGCTGGTTTTTGGACAGCGTAAGCGGAATAATTGGGGGTTAAAACGACATGAACGAGCATAAACCATATAGTGAAGGCATGTGGGGCGCGTTTGTGACGCGGCACTGTCGTGGGAAGCGGCCGCTCGGGACTGAGTGTTGAATGCGGCTCAGTAATAAACGTCGTGCGCGCGTGTACCGTTTGTTGGGTTGTGTAGCACACATATCGTTGCATATCATCACAAAATGAAAATGGCGTCTCATTATCTGTTTA